ATGAAACTTGCATTGCTTTGATTGAAGCATTATTCATTTTAATTTAACTACAATAAAAGCTGGTTTATTTTATTTTATAAACCATTTTATGGTCAATATTATTAGCCCTCCTAACCATTTTTTTTAATTATCTACAGAAAAGAACGCAGTTATACAATAACTTCTCTACCCTTACTTGCCTAGTTAGCATAATTATAAAATCGACGATTGTGTGTCACATGTCTTTTGCCACATTAGAAGACAGTTGTCCACCCACATTTTGGAATGCAGCCTGAATCGAAACACTTGTTAGAGTCATTCCTGATAGTTTGACATCTTCATATGCCATGCAATAAAACACTTTAAGAACACATCTAGAGAATACTTATTTTCAAAGTCACTCGACATAAAAAAACCTAAAAGGAACGCGTGTCGCTTTTATTGATAGTCAAAGAATCCTTCAGGGACGCAACCTCATGGAAATCCGTCAGGAACACAATCAATCGGACACATCTCATGATCAAACGCTGCATTTCATCTATTTTTGCTCAAGCCCCCGTGCCTTGATCTTTCGCACTTTGGTCTTCCTTACAGGATATACAGTTGAAGTCAGAATTATTAGCCCTCCTGAAGTATTAGCCCACTTGTAAATTTTTTCCTCCAATTTCTGTTAAACGGAAAAAAAGATTTTTATCAACATAATTTTTTTTTTATCTTTGCCATGATTACAGCACATAATATTTTACTTGATGTTTTGAAAGAGACTAGTATTCTGCTTAAAGTGACATTTCAAGGCTTAACTAGGTTGATTAGGCAAGTCATTGCATATCAAGTTTTTTTTCTGTAGATAATTGAAAAAAATATTGCTTAAAGGGGGTAATAATAATGACCCTAAAATGCTTTAAAAAAAAAAAAAAAAACTTATTTTATTCTGGCCGAAATAAAGCAAATAAGACTTTCTCCAGAAGAAAAAATATTACAGGAAATACTGTAAAAATTCCATGCTCTGTTAAACATCATTTGGGAAATATTTCAAAAAGAAGAAAGTCAAAGGAGTGCGACTAATTGTGACTTCAACATACTACACATTGTTTCATTTTCATTTCCTTCTTGATCCTAAGGCTTGATTCACTGGTTTTGACAGTCTGTGTGTTGCTGGTTTTCTCCTTCCTGTGGCTGGGGTTTTGGCCCTGGAGGAGCGTTCGCCTCATCCCCATCCATCGTCCCTCATCCCCATTGGTGGTTTTGTTGGTGTTTGCAGTGCATGGGCTGTGGGAGGAATGGTCTTCATGGAGCCTATGCTCTGTCACGTGTGGCCGCGGCTCTCGGACTCGGAGCAGGATCTGTGTTCTCCCCCAGCATGACAGCACGGGCTGCGGAGGCCCAGAGGTGCAAACCAAACTCTGCAATATAGCTGTGTGCCCTGGTTAGTACTTTTCTCCATTGCCTCTCCTCTGACTCTGTCTCTTTCCTCAACCCTGAAGAACTTTCTGTCTTTATATACTATTCATCACACAAGTGGGTCTTGTTTACTGATAGTTATCTAGGTGTTCCTTCTTATGTGCGTATGTGTATCTTGTTGCAAATTTATATATTGAAATTAACCTTTGTGCACTGTTTAAATTGACTACCCTTTCATTATGTTCATGGCTGTTTTTGCCCCATTGACTTTAATTATAATGACATTTTTTTGATTGCAAAACCATGACACCATATTTTTATGCATTCTTGATTGTTGGTCGTAAAGATTGTTGGTGGTAAGACGTAAAATATGGATTTTTTAACTTATAGATATTAAAGGGTAGTACATTTGCCTAGTGTGTTGTTGATTTATTTTGAAACATTTCAAAGTGTTTTCCCAAATTATGAGTCAAAATAAAACTTGTCACCAAATATTATTCCTTTTGCTGTTACTTGCAGAGAGTTGTTGCCAAATTAAGACTCAAAATGACTACATAATGGATGAAAACATCCCCAACAGCACACAAGGGTTAAATACATGCATTATCGAACATATTAATTAAATGAATATTAATTTATAATAAGATGACTTAATTAATCAGTGTCTATTTAAAGTATAATAGCTATACTATATTATTTAGAATAATTTTGCATAATTTATATTTTTGTAAAATTTTGTTAATTTACAGTTGATTTTATAACAAAAGTTTTTTTAATAAAATTATACAAATATGTATTTGTGTTTTGTGTGTATTTATTATGAATATGTTTTGTTTTGTTTTGGTATATTATTGTTAATATTATTATTATTATTATTATTATTATTATTATTATTATTATTATCATCATCATCATCATTCATTATACTTTGAATGTCAAGTCCATACAGTTGATAGTACTATCAAATGTGTGTCTTTTTAACAACCAACTGAGCACCACTGCATTGAATCGAGTCCATCTTAGGGCAAAAGGGGCAATTGCATCAGCTAACCAACAGGTGGTGCTGTGCATTTGTTTTTGCCCTTTTAAATCTGCGACTGACGCATCAGACTACAGGGAA